CTGAAGCCATCTGGTCCTGGAATTTTCTTTGGGGAGATTTTAAATTACTGACTGAATTTCATCCTTTTAATTGGTGTATTCAGATTTTCTATTTCTTCATCATTCAATTTGGGAAGGTTGTGTGTTTGTAGGAATTTATCTGCTTTGTCTAGGCTTTCCAATTTGTTGGAGTATAATTGTTTGTAGTAGTCTCTTGTGATCCTTTGTATCTATGTAATGTTGGTTGTAACTTCTCTTTAATCTCTTATTTTATTTATTGTGGAGCAAATGGGAATTTCTGACCAGGATTCCCACCTGGCCTTAGTTGTGCCCATTGTATATATACATAAGAGCCCGTTTGCACATCTACGGGATGTTTATCCAGGACAGAGTAGCTGGTCAGTCACAGGAGTACCAGCCCAAGGGAGGGATGGAGAGGAAACACTCATTTTCTCCTCCTCTTAGTTCCTACTACATAATTGGTCAGTCATGTGCCAGTCACCAGAGACCTACCCACAGAATTCCTCCTGATGCTGGGACAGGGAATTAGAGGGCTGCAGGGAAAGAGCCATGGCACCCTGGTAATGCTAGCGAATTAAGCCTGAGTGTAGGAGCAGGGAGCTTGGAGAGTGGAGGATGAGGGAAGCCTTCTGGGAGAACTTGACTGGTGGAGGGGAGCCAACAGAGAATAGAAGGTGTGATCAGGAAGAGTGAGGAGAGACTAAGACCTACTGCCCTGAGAATAAACCCCCTTTTAAGCCCCCAACTCATTGCCCTTGCCTTTATTCAGTCCTATTGAATTCATAGGGAATTTCCCTAGGCTAGGAACTCCTTCCTCCTGGAACAACAGGCCCTTTTTTTTTCTTGATGAGTCTAACTAGAGGCTTATCAATTTTATCTTTTCAAAGCTTTTAGTTACATTGAACTTTCTGTTTTTGTAGTTTCTATTTCATTTGTTCCCAATTGATTTCTATTATTTCTTTCCTTCTACTAACTTTGGGCTATGCTTTTTCTTCTTTTATTAATTCCTTTAAGTGAAAAGTTATATTGTTTATTTGGGATTTTTCTTGTTTCTTGAGATGGTCCTATGTTGCCATGAACTTCTCTCTTACAACTGCTTTTGCTGCCTTCCATAGATTTTGGAAAGTTGTGTTTCCATTTCCATATATTTCAAGATATTGTTTGATTTCCTCTTTGATATCTTTGCTGACCCATTAGTTGTTTAGTAGCATGTTGTTTTGTCTCCATATGTTTGTTTGTTTCTAGTTTTCTTCTTGTAATTGATTTCTATTCTACTCAGAAAAAGTGCTTGGTATGATTTTAATCTTAAATTTATTGAGACTTATTTTGTGGCCTAACCTATGATCTAGCCTGGTGAATGTTCCATGAGCACTTTAAAATAATGTGTATTCTGCAATTTTTGGATGGAATGTTCTATATATATCTATGAAATCCATCTGGTCTAATGAATCATTTAAGGCCAATGTTTCATTATTGATTTTCTGTTTAGATGATCTATCCATTGATATACAGTTGTTTTCCTTCTTATTGTTTGTAAGAGTTGTTTGTATACCCTGGAATAAGACTTTTGCGGGTTATATGGATTGAATATAAGTTTTTCAAGGTTGTAGTTTGCTTGCTTTCTTTTTGTGTTTTTTGGTGAGTAGAAATTAATTTAGCTGAAAATATCTATCTTCTCTTTTGTGTTTCACATTTTAAAAAGCCTTTAAAACAAAACAAAATGGAAAACCTCTCCCAACTACAGGGCTAGAAAAATGATCTACTTTTTTTCAATCTTTTAAAGTTTTACCTTTACAATTTAAGACTTTACTTCATTGGAATTGAATTTTGAGAGAGCTAGTTATTCCAATTCTGTGACTGATCAATTGTTCCAGCAATATTTATTAAGTAGTCCTTCCTCAGTGGTTTGCTATGCCATATTTTTCATATATCAAGTTTCTATATATGTGTATTTGATTCTGGGCTTTCTATTCTTTTCCATTTTTCTGTTTGACTGTTTTCCCAGAAGTACCAAGCTGGCTTAATTTATATAGCTTTATAATTGGTCTTTATATCTGGTAAGATAGGTCCTATTCTCTCTTGTTTCCTTCAGGAGTATCTTGGCTATTCTTGGTCTTTGCTCTTCTATGTATCTTTTAAGATCAGTTCATTGAGCTTCTGTAAGTCTTCTCTTACCCTTTTGGTTTACTCCCTTTGACTTTGGGGCTGAGGTTTCACTACAAAGTGTCAGGGTAGGATTTCTTTTTATTTAACTTGTTTAATACACTTTGTCCTTCCTTTATCTGTGGATTCATGACTTTGGTTCTGAAAAATTTCCAACCATTATGTCTTCAGCTATTGCTTCTCTTTGATGCCTTTCATTGTCTCCAGCTGGGAGTCATATTAGAAGCATCTTAGACATTATTATTATAGTTTCTCTTTTAACATCTCACAATCAATAGATTCTTGTCTTTCTCTGCTGCTTTTGAGTAAATTATTTAAGCTAACTTCCATTTCACTAATTTATTTCCTTAGTTGCTTTAAATCTGCTTGTGTAACCTATCCATTGAATTCTAATTTTTGACAATTATGTTTTTTATTTCTAGAAGTTTATTTAGTTTAAAAAAAAATAAGTCTGGCTATTTTGATAATCTAATACCTCTGAATATATGTTATAACAGTTAACAATTTTAGTTTCATAGCCCATGTTGTAGTTGTTAAATTGTAGAGCCCCAAATTAAATTCAGGTCTGACTCCAAAAGCTATTTCTTTCAATTATACCACTATTTTCAATACTTCAGTCATATGAATAAGACATTCATAATTTTTGAAATGCATGTACTATATTAATAATTGGTTAAATAAATGAGAATATGAATTGATATGTTTAAAGTCCTTAAAACAGTGCCTAGCCAATAGCAAATTGCCAATAAATTCTAGCTATTATTGTTTTTAGTATTTTTTTTAAATCAACTGCACTTTTCAAACGTATTTACCTACTTTAGCCTCATCCCAAGTAATACTATCTATGACATTACAGTTTGAATGTTTAACATATCTATTTTAATACAGCTTAAGTCACATACCCATTAAAAAATGTTTATCCATGCATGCTTCAGAAAATCTTTTGTACCATCAATGTTACATGTACCATACTGAAAAACAGAATTTAACAGGCTCTTAATAAACTTTTTGAATAAATATTTATTTATTTCTGTTACTAAACTAAAGCATGGTTAATAATTAAATGCTCATCTGAGGTCTGTACTCTTCCTATCTGTGTGACTGAGCAATTTAACCTCTCCATACCTAATTTTTCTTCTTTAAATTGAAAGTATTCATGGCTATAATTAAGTTTACAGGAGATAATGTATGTAAAACTTTTTAACAGAGTGCTTGTTGCATAGTGAAGGCTCAGAATGTTACATAGCATTATTAAGTTATTTTAAAGTCATCCTGAGGAGAAATTATAAAACTTCTAGAACTTAGCATTTGAACAATCCTCCTGGATGCTAATCTTGTGTCAAGGATCCCTCTTTTCTTGTGCATACTTTTAAAAAATTGATGTGAAATCACAAAAGATTAACCATTTTAAATGAACAATTTAGCATACTTTGTACATATACAATGCTGTGCATAAGGAGTTGCTCCCCATTCCTCCCTCCCCACTGCTTCTGGTAACAACCAATTTGTGTTCTATCTGTATGGATTTTCTTATTCTGGAGTATTTTCTATAAATGGAATCATACAATATATTACTTTTTGCATCTGGCTTCCTTCACTTAGCGTGTGTTTTCAAATTTTTACACATTATAGCATGTATCAGTACTTCATTCCTTATTATGGCTGAATAACATTCCATTGTAAGTACATACCACAATTTGTTTATACATTCTTATGTTGATGGACATTTGGGCTGTTTCCACCTTTTTGCTATTGTGAATAGTACAGATTTGAGCATGTATGTATGTGTACTTGTTTGAATACTGTTTTCAATTACTTTACCTAGGAGTAAAATTGCTGGGTCCATGGTAAATCTACATTTAACTTTTTGAGGAGTGCCAAACTATATTCAACAGTGGCTGAACTACTTTATATTCCCACCAGCAATGTACAGAGTTTCCAATTTCTCCATATCCTAACACTTGGTATTATTTGCCATTCAAAAATATGTATAGCTATCCTAGTGGGTGTCAGGCAGTACATCGTTGTGGTTTTGATTTTCTTTTACCTAATGACTAATGATGTTGAGTATCTTCTCATGTATGTGTTTATTGGCAATTTATATATATATATATTTTTTTTTTTTGAGAGATGTATATTCAGGTCCTTTGTCCATTTTTAAATTGATTTTTCTTTTGCTGTTGAGTTGTAAGAGTTCTTCATACATTGTAGATACTAGACCCTGTCAGATATATGATTTACAAATATTTTTCCCATTCTGTAAGTTGTCTTTTCACTTTATTGACAATGTCCTTTGATGTACATTTTTAATTGTGATGAAGTCCAATTTATCTATTTTTTCTTTTTTTTTCATGCTTTTAGTGTCATATCAAAGAGTACATTGCCAAATCCAATATCATGAGGATTTATCCTTATATTCTAAAATTTGTGTGGTTTTAGATCTCATATTTAGGTTCTTCATACATTTTGAGTTAATTTTTGTATATTGTGTGATGTAGGGATCCAACTTCATTCTTTTGCTTGTGAATATCCAGTTGTCTAAGCAACATTTGTTGAAGACAATTCTTTCCTTATTAAATGGTCTTAGCATGCTCATAGAAAAATAATTGGCCATTGTTGGATAAATTTATTTCTGAACTCTCCCAATTCTATTTCATTGATCTATTTGTCTACCTGTATAAAAATATCACATTGTTTTGATTATTGTAGCTTTCTGGTAATTTCTGAAATCAGAAAGTGTGAGTCCTTTAACTTTCCTCTTCTTTCTAAATACTGTTTTGGCTATTTGGGGCCTCCTCTTAAAATTCCATATGAATTTGACAATTGGTTTTGACATTCTACATAAAAGGCCATTGGGCCTGGCGCTCTATACTGAGGAGCGGCCGGCGGCGCAATGGAGCGGGCCAGGGACCGCTTACACCTGAGACGGACTACAGAACAGCACGTACCAGAGGTGGAAGTCCAGGTCAAACGTCGGAGGACAGCCTCACTGAGCAACCGAGAGTGTCAGCTGTACCCAAGGCGATCTCAGCAGCAGCAAATACCTGTGGTGGATTTCCAGGCCGAACTGAGACAGGCATTCTTAGCTGAGACACCAAGAGGTGGTTAAAGCAGTATTGGAACATCCAGTAGCTGATTGCCAAGTAAAGATCAGTTTTGTTTAAATCAGCTGAGAATGTATCCGTGTACAGCTGACAATGTAATAAAGATATTAGTCATAATTTTTCAATGTGATATAGGTTTATTTAGTCTGCTTTTTTATGTTGGTTGCTTACATTTTTAGGAAAAAAATCAGAAATTGACTTTGATTTACCACTTTTTTTGTTTGTTACTTTATTTTAGTTTTAAGATTTCATTGATCTCAATCCAAAGAGTGTAGTATATTTCTAGAAACTTAAGAGAGGAAGGGGGCTTATAGATGAGTTTCTTCTAGATTTTTTCTTACCCCTCAACTCAAATTGATTAGGCCTGTTTATAGCCACCATTTTTATTTTGAACTAAAGGAGAAAAAACAAATTTTGTAAGGGGAAACCCTTCCCTGCTGAATCTTTTACCCACATTCACCACTAATTGTCTGGACTTCATTACAAGACAGTGGAATTGATTTAAAACAGTGGCATCTGATCTTTATCCCCAGATGTTCCCCTAAGAACAAGTTTTAAAAAGAGTTAAGTTTGTGCGATATTTTTGAGCCAGGAATTTTTTTTTTTTTTTTT